TATATAATATCTTTAAATTAATTTTATTACTTTATTAAATAATCCTTTTAATAATGTATAGTATAATTCTTTAAGATATATTCTATAATCTATTATTTATTAGTATTATTAATTATTTTCTTATTATAATATAGATTAAGATCCTCTAGCTCCTAGATTAGTTTAAGAAGAGATATATAAAAGGTAGGATATAATAATTAATATCTAGGCCTTATATATAATATATAGGCTTATTTATTAATATAATCTATAATCTAGAAAGGACTAATTTATTTTCTTAATAAGATAGCTAGCATTAGTATGTTTTATATAGACTATAACCTAGTTAATAATCTTAAAGGTATATTTAAGGTACTTTTAATTATATAATCTTTTTATAGCTTCTTTACCCTAATAAAGGTATTCCTATAAGAAGGAGTATATATTCTAAAGGTCTTTAACTTTTTTTATTATATCTAGTTTAGTATTCTTAATAATAATCTTAATCTTAATCTTAAAGTTACTTTAAAAGCCTATAGGTACCTTACTAGGAGTTATATTAATAATATTATATAGAGAGTTAATCTAGGTATTTTATATTATTAATAATTATTATACCTAGTTATCTTAGTACTAATTTATATATATATATATATATAAAGAAAGTACTTTAATTTTTAATTTTAATATTTAATCTAACTATTAGTCTACAGATAAAAGGAGATTAATATTTAATTATTAAGTAATATAATATAGACTAGTAATTATTAATAAAAAGGGAGCCTCTATTATTTATAAGGTTATTAAACATACTAATAAGACTATAAATATATTTATAAAATAACTTAATAAGTTTATATACCTTAAGATCCTTTCTAGTTAGAATAGATTATATAAACTTAGTAAATATATTAATTATAATAAGAATTATATTATAAATAATTCCTTATTACTTATATAATAATAAGCCTATAATAAAGTCTAAGCTTATTTAGTTTAATAGATATATAGATAGTAATAATAGTTTAAGAAGTCTATATAATTTATCTTAATACTTATAATATTTCTAAATATAGTCCTAGATATTATATTATATATTATATTAATAGTATTATTATTAAATACTTTTTTAAGATATATTACTATTAAAGGTATTCTTCTTATAGATTATTATAATTAATTTTTATTATCTTATAGATAATAGCTAAAGATATTAAGATATAATATAAGACTATATACTAATAGAGAACTTATTAGTATCCTATATTTTATAAATTAATTTAGTTATTAATTCTAGAAGATCCCTAGAATATATTATTTTAGTATATATAGCTATACTTACTATAAATTATAATAATAAAATATCTAGATTATCTATATTATTAGTAGTGTAATTCTTATTTATAATTATAAGTTTCTTACTATAGGTATTAATATTATATTTAGAGACTTATAGTCTCTAGTATAGAAATATATTAATAAGTCTTACTACTTTAGGGATTTTCTTAATATATTTATTATATAGTTAGTTTAGACTATACTATAACTTTCTTTAAAGTATTAATAATATAGAATTCTTAAGTTCCTTACCTTCTCTTAATATATAGTCTAGATAATAGCTTAATATACTTATAAGATTCTTTATCCTAGGGTAGTATTTAATAATAAAGTTAATTATAATAAAATTCTTTATTTAATATATCTAATACTTATTTAGTTCTTTTATTATTATAAAGAACTATAGGTTAGTATAGTTAGAAAGTACTATAATAAGACATTAGCTCCCTTTAAGATAATATCTCTAATATTTAAATAATTTGATAATAGTAAGTATTTCTTTATTATAGGTTTTATAATATATTTCTATATCTTATATCTTTTAAGATTATAATATGATAAGGTACTATTAACTATTATTATATAATTAAATATAAATTCTTATAGCTATAAAACTAAAGGTATTAAGTTTAATTCTAATCTTCTATATTAGATTAAAATATTATAATAATGCTTTAAGGAACTTTTTAAGTTTTTAAATATTTTATAAGCCCTATATATTAATTATAATAGACCCTTATATTCAATTATATTAATATTATAAGCTTAATAAGATTAGACTTTATTATTATTCTAAGCCTTAATTATTTTAAGATATATATATTTATAAGTATTTTTTAATAAACCTTTAAAAGTTTATCAAGCCTAAGAATATTTTTAATACTTTATAAAATAGGCTATTACCTAATAATTTGAATCTTACTATACTCTATAGATATACTTTATAGTATAATAATAAACCTAAGTTAATAATATTAATATAAAAGATATACTTAATTTAATAAAAAGCTTAAAGATATATAGTTATAAGCCACTATCTTTCTTTAATATAAATAGATAGATATATTAATGAGACCTTTTAAAAAGTAAATCTAGCCCTTTATAAGAGTATTATTAATATAATCCTTAAGGATATATAGTTTAGTCTTAGATAATATATAAATTAGGTAGTATAAAGAAGCTATATTAAGTTATATATTGGAAATATAATTAGCTTATAAAGGATAAGCTATTAAGTATAAAAGATATATATAAAAGTACTATATATAGTTATAATTATATAAACTTATAGTAAAAGAATCTTAATCTAATCCTTATTATTTTTAATAGAGTAATACTACTTATATTTTAACTAATATATATTAGGGTTAATAGCTTTAAGCTAAAGAAAGGTAAGAATAATATTATAAAATATTATATTAATTATTTCAAAGATCTTTATTTAATCCTATATTAAGCTATTTATATTCACTAAATACTCTTTTATTTAATATTAATTAATAAAACTAGATTTACTACTATAATCTAGAAGAGTAAATATAATTTTTAGACTTATAAATATATTAATAATAATATTAAATATTATTTATTTATTATAAGAATCTTCCTTAAGATCTAATATTATTATAGCTCTAAATATTAAATCTCTTATTTTTTTAAAAAGTCTATATTAGCTCTAGATATAAGAGTCTAATTATATAAATATCATAATTAATATTTAAGTATTATATAATAAAACTATTTATATCTATAATAAAGGAGTCTATTTTAGTTTTATAATAGATTTAAGCTAGATTTATATTTATTTAGTTAAGAATAAGATCTTTATATTCTCTGTAGGCTATTTTTTATAGCTTTTTAAGGTCTATATTAGACTTTTATATCTTATATTATATAATTAAAAGAATCTTTATAAATAGGTATTACTTCCTTTATTCCTTTATATGTTTAAATAATAGTTAGTTCTCTAATATAATAAGGAAGTTAAAAAACTTAATAATATTCTAATATTTTAATTATTAAGTCTTATTATATTAGATATATATATATTAAAGAATTCTTAGGTTATTAATATAGTTTTAATAGAAGTCCTTAAATTCCTATTAGCTATATTTAATTATTTAGTTATTTATTTCTTAGTTCTACTTTATAAGATAATTTAAATTAAGGTAGTTAATATTATAAGTTACCTTTTATTATTTATTAGTAATAAACTAGTCTTAGAACTATATAAAATATACTTTAAGTTAATTTATAAAATCTTATAGTTAATATATATTCCTACTTAAGAATAGGTTAATATTTATTAAGTATAGAGGAGGCTTTACTTTATTATTATTATTATTATTACTAACTATAATTAAAGGTATAGTTTATTATTATCTATTAAAATCTATATATCTAAGTAAAAAATTAGGTTAACCTTATTAATTTAAGATAGATTAAACTAGGTTATTAATATTAGACTATATATTATAATTAGAGGGTATTATATTTATATTAATACTTTAATTAAGGTTATTAAGCTAGTTTTATCTTTTAGTAATATATTACTAAATTAGCTATAATTAATAAAGCTATTCTTATTTTATAAGTTTAGCTTTAAGTTATTAGACTTTAGCTATTTAATCTTTAAGATCTAAATTAGTATAGTTATTATCCTATAATATATTATTAGTTAGGGGTTCTAGTATTAAGGTATCTAAAGTATAAGGTATAGTATTATTATTATTTATAGTTTAATTAATATTTATATCTTAATCTCTAGATATTATAGGGAATTCCTCTATAGTAGGCTAGCTTAGTATATTATTAAGTAGATTATATAAGATATTATTAGGAGTACTGCCATGCAGCCACTGGTCATAATAATACTACTAGAGTGCCTACTACTTATTAATCTATAGAATAATATATAGAGGAAGCTATAAGGTAAGATACCCTAAGTATTAAGATATAATAAGTTACTTTTAAAACTAAAGGTATTAGTAGTAATTACTAATTTTATAATATAAATAGGCCTACTCTCTTAATTTAATATAGTAGATAAAGAGATAATAGGCTCTATAAATTAAGATAATATATAAGGTAATTAAATATAGAAGATAAAGGGGGATATATATAGTAGCTACTATATTAGGTTAATAGTAATTATAAAAGGAGATTAATAGATATAAAAACTACTACTAAGGTAGGTAATAAAACTAGAGATATATAAAGTTAAAAACATAAATAATAAGTTAGTAAGATAATAATCTAGTAGTATAATAAAGTTATAAAAGTAGCTTAATAAGAAAGAGATTAGTAATTAATAGTAAGATATATATAGTTAAGTATATAATATAGTAATTAAAGCTATAAAGCTTTTATATAAGGTTTATTTAAAGTTAGTAGGTATATATTTTTCTATTCTTTTATAGGGGTAGCTCTTAACTAATTATTTAGCTAAGAGAACCTCCCTCCTATAATACTAGTACTATATTTTACCTACTTTAGAGCAGCACTCTAAGTAATCCTATATAGTAATATGTATTTACAGTTAGCTACAACAGGAATAAGAGGTCTACTACTACTACTACTACTACTACTACTAAGTCCTAAACTCTAACTCTACTCATGAGTTGAATCTTAAATCCCTACTTGAACTCAACCCATTTGACACACTAGCTCTAGCCCTTATTAATCTCTATATATGTGGCAGTTGAACAGCCATTAATCCTAGGTAAAGTGTTAACAGTGTTGAAGGTATTCAGCCCATGACGCTGCTCTAATAGGAATATCATATTATCTATATATCCGTTATTAACCTTACAAATAGCACTGATAAATCATCATAGGATTTTTTGTACATGAAGAATGACAGCATAAGGCCCATCTACCTCATGCCCAACACCTTTATTTACCTCAACATTCGGCCAAATTTCCACAGTGACTTTATCTAACTGTGGCTCATTGGCTGCAAAAGCATTGCAGATGATAACCACACGTTGTGCCTGTTGGAAGTCACCACACTCAAGAACAGTTAGCCTGGTCTGTAACCTGAAAGATAATGCAACAATATGATGATAAAATATGTCTTCCTGCCTGCAAACTCCAGCCATCGAATCATACATGCTGGTAGGTGGGACTAATGCAAGTTCAGGCTCAAACATCCGGACACTACGTGCAGTAGTGCCATTTCGGAATGACGTAGGGGAGATATAAGGCGGGTTTGAAATTAAAACATCGCATTTGAAATTATCATTGTTGAAGACACCTGATGTAATATCTTGTGACAGAATGAAGTCTTGTATGACTTCATCCGCGCTAGATATCTTTGGATCACACCGGCCGAAAATATTGCCCTGTCGAAAATGAACATCGGTCCCCGAACGATTCGACAACAAGCCCAAACTAATATTATGCTCGCGGTTCATTTTTGCCAATTGGATAGCCACGGGGCTGATATCGACACCAAGTATGAGCACCCGTTCGAAATGAGATGCAAGAAGAGCATGGAGAAGAAGTGATATGCACCCAGTCCCGGTGCAAAGGTCTATGATACGGATAGACTGCTTCCGGAAAGGTGTCTCAGACCCCCTGATAAGGCGATGTTCTCGCTCTTCCCTTAAGATCATGTCGGCAGTGTGTATAGTAAAGGATTCTGTTTCCGGCCTAGAGTATGAAAAAGTCAGCCGACCAGAAAAATAAGCATAGTTGAAGTGTCTAATAAACCTTGGGATTAACACATCTTTCCTGCACAATATCTCAAGATCCCCAAAGGGCTGATCCCCAAGAATGTACTGAAGGGGTACACCCCGAGAGCGCTCTCGACACATGAATCTCAGCAAACTCCTCCACCCTGAAAACACATGTTTATGTATTGCACCTCTGCTGTGCATCGCTCTGCTGATATCAAGTGCTCGCTCGCGTAACCAACGAAGCTCATTGCGTGCTGAATCGAGTGAGCGACATTCTCGTAATAGTAGTGGCAGTAGAGGACTCTGTTGATATGCTCTGAGAAGAGTCCGAGTGGGAATGCGCGGCATTGGGGAACATCAATAAAATGTTTTTCGTTTTCCTCACTACGTGTTAGGGGGGTACAATGCATATATTCTGTGCTAGTAGAGCCGCGCGTTAAACAAGGTCAAATTTCAAATTACCCTGGAGTTCAGGTCACCGCACTTAAGTTGACTAGGAGCGGAATAGATTTAAGATAAGAGACTTAAGAAACTTTGTGAGGACTGGATCCTATGTTATTTCATTACTACCTATCTAGGTTTCACCGAGTTTAGAACATCAACACGCCTGGATATTTATTTATTAACCCTCCCCCACCCACAACACTACACGTACGAGCCCCAAAATTATATACATGGAAATAACAAGTTCGGGTATTGTATTGACAAGCACCTCCGTGATAAAAAAAAAAAAAACTATACACAGAAGCTCCCATGTATACACGTGGCCAGCAATAATAGAGACCGCATTACAACACAAACATATATCCAACACCTGCGAGGCCAAGGGCAAGGTGTTTTGGGATACTCGTGGGCCGAACCGCAGCCGCCCCTTTACTAGACGCTGTTGGTACTTCGGTAAAAATGCCACCCGTGGGACCTCCAATTCGAGCCCCAGAGCCACCAGCGGCGACAGTGGTAACGGGGTTTGAAACCTGGGTCGCACCAGGGACTGAATTATCACCATTCCCAATCTCAAGCACGTTGTCGGTCGTTGAATCAAAATTCGTGTTGGCAAGGGATATCTCGTTATTTGCAAGATCGTACACGACATATGCGCTGCGTAAGAATGTGTCTCCAAGAACAGCCGTGCTGTCTCCAGCAGGAACAATTCCAAAAGCACATGCACGTGTTCCGTCCCGGAACCAAAGGTCTCCCATATCAAGGACAAGTTCATCAACACTGACACTGATTGTGGGGGATGAAAAGGTATATGTTATATTGATGTCTTTGTTTGCCAAACTGCATGGCACATAACCAACCCCACTCGAAGATTCATAGGTGACACTGAGGTTATTGAATATACCCTCAACAATTGAATCAGGAAGGTAGGTTAGTGAACTACCAGAGTCAAGTAATACCGCCGCCGGGAGGGCGCCTGATGAGTAATTTTGATTACTCGATTCTGAATTCAGGGCAACGCCAGTTAGGGCAATGACGAATTCTGAATAGCCTCCATTGACTGGCTGTATGGGCAATGTTTCTAATTCACCGTGATACTTTCCGGTGTTCACGCCGCCAAATAGGACTGACCCCGTATTTGCATTCAGATCGTTCAACCATAGGCTGTAGGCGTTTGAATTGATCAGGCCGTTTTTTACCATCGCTCGAGGGAGGTTGGGATATGCATCTTCACCAAACCGCCCAACTTGCACTTCGTTCGAGGTATATCCGATGCCCAATACTCCCTCTGAGACTATGTTAGCGTCACATGGCCGGCGTGACAAATAAAACATAATGTGCTTTGGCTTACCAGCAGATCCAGATGTATAACCAACCCCGAACTGAAAATCTTTTATGGTAGCGCCACCAATACGTAGAATATCTGTCACGTAATCACCGGCTGCGCCACTGCCATCGGCATAAGAAATGTTGAAATCCGACGAGACATATGAATATGTCGAGGAAGAATCAGGATCATATGAACCAGATACACTGCAAGGGTCACTCCCAGAGAGGCATAGAGAAGAATTTGCCGAGTTACACCACAGGTCACTACTACCGGTATCGAGGACCAAGCGGAAGCTCTGCTCTGGTGTGCCTAGAGTAATGTTGCAGAAATATAATGTTTCCTATCCAATGAACAATGAGTAATTGGATCAGCGACCCGTTTGCGAAAAGCAAGTTCGACCTTCCACCATAGGAAAAGCTGATGATATACCTCATTGTCAATCGCCTGGCTAACGGTCTTATCTCGTTTGCGTCTCGCTCGGTCTCTGCTCACGGGGTCGGGAATATCATTGCGTTCAATTTGCAATGGCACAACAGCAGGAATATCTCTTCGGCAGAGTGTCAAGGCTGCTAAGCTCGGGAGGGCAAGAGAAATGGCCAGCGATAAAGAATAAGCAGTCAGCATGCTTCCCTCTTATCTTCCACCTTTGTATTTCGCGCACGTTTTGTTGACTTATTGCTGGTATAGTATTCAAAAATTGATCCGCAATATTTGGAGATGGCTGTTTACTCTTGAAACGTAGCAGCCGATGAGGCCAGCCCTTAATGCGTAATATTAAGAGCCTGATGTATAGAATAGTATATGTATGGGGCTAGGGGCCGGGGAGTGCGATAGAAAAGCGAACAGGCGTGATAATAAGAGAACCAGAAAATCGTCTTCGACTGACGTTCTGGTAATTGAAGGAATGGAACGCCATGTTCTTTTGTATGGATGTGGGATGTGGATATGGTAATTGATGTCGTCCAGTATTGGTGCTATCCATGGCTACTACTGCAGCTGGTCGGTTCAATCGGGTCAGCGCCTCGGGCCCCACTTGACACTAATTTCGGAGCGTCGTAGCGCTGACCAAGCACAAGATCGATGGATGCAGCATCATCGGTTGTCGTCACCACCTGTGGATCTTGCTGCAATTTTATTTTTAGTATCTCACGTGCAACTGGGATGACAAAAGCAGTCATGGTGTAATTACTTCCAAGTGCTTAATGGATAAGATAAAATTACAGTGAGCAATTTAATATGTATCAGTATTGTTTGTTGACTAGTTATACTTGCTGCAAACGTAAAAGGAATTTCTGGGGAAAACGGTTGTCTCCGAAGCAGCTCCATGATGAGTACACTTCCAGTCTGATATTATTCCCATTTTCGGAGTTGCCCGGGAACTTGAACTGCAACATGAAAACTATACACCAATGGTTATCAGGGTTATTGAAAAATATGAGATCTTGCCTAGGAGTCACATGGTTAGTCAGGCCTCATTAATTTATCACCAACATAATCATTATTTTATCCATGTGGACAGTACTCTTCTTGGGCTTCATACACGAATTTTTAGTGGTAAGTCCATATCGTGTATGTAGTACCAACTGCCGAGCATTCGTCACTCTTGAGGGACCCTGGTACAGTGGGAGGAATCAAGTTTGTACCCCCCCCCCCCCCCCCAGACCGCCTACTTAGATAGAATAGTATTTTGTATATAGCCAACGCATTAACCATACACATTCTATATTAAATCACTAATATGGTATGAAAAAGAGGCCTAGAACTATCTCCTTAAATATAATCTTAAATCTATGAGCTCCATTCTATTAGCTAGGGTATAAAATAAATCTATATAAAGTATCTAGAGTAGTTAATTAATATAATTAAAATAACTCTATAGTATAAAGCTATTTAGAATAATAATAAAATATAACTATACTCTAGCCCCCTATATAAGCTCTCTAAAGAGTAGAGAGACTATTTATATAATTACTTAGTCTTTAATCCTTATATAAAGTAGGAAGAACTACTAGATAAGATAGATTATATTATTAAAAAGTACTTAATTTAGAAGCTTTTCTATAAGATAGGTTATTATAAATAATAGTAACTTAAATAGCTATTTCTATATAAAATATATACTAGAAAGCACCTTAAATAGGCACTTTATTATATATATTTTACTTTAGAAGACTAACTATATATCTAGTAATCTAATAAGTACTCTATTAAGTAAGGTACTAGTATATATCTAATCTAAACCTTTAACTTACTAAAAGATTAACTATAAGAGGGGGATATTAAGATAGTAAGCTATAGAAAGGGAATAAGGCAGATATTTTAGGCTAATTTTAGAAAAAAGACCTATATAGGTGTCACACCCTAGAACCTGGCAGCAACCTAATAGTGACCTTATAGTAAGGTCTAGGCAGGTTCCCTGAACCACATGACTATAGCTAAATAAGACTGTATTTAAAACATTATATAATAGATAATTATAGAGTAAGTAATTAATTCTAAGTAATACTATCTATATATTTAACTAGTGTGTCACACGAGTCGAGTCTACTTGTAAGTAATGAGTAGAGTTTAAGTAATGAGGTGAGTTTAAGTTAAGATTTAGGACTTATCTTAGTATATAAGTAAAACTTATGAGTTTTAAGTAATAAGTTTAAGTTAATAGATTAGACTTAAAAACTTATAGATTAATTACCTATTATAGAATCTAGCCTAAAAAGGAATAGTTAATATAGAGGTTATATTACTATACATCATATATATAATAGGCTATACTAATAGAGCCTCTATTAACCTACCTATACTATATAAATAGAAATATAATGCTTTATATTAGGTACCTAGCTTAGTCAGTATTATAATACTATTATAGTCTGTATTACACTAGTCTATTTTAGGATAAATAAGTTAAACTTATAAGTAATAAGTAGAGTTTAAGTAATAAGGTGAGTTTAAGTTTAGATTTAGGACTTATCTTAGTATATAAGTAAAACTTACAAGTTTTAAGTAATAAGTTTAAGTCCTACCTTCTAACTCAACTCACAAGTCAAGTCCTAAATCTCTACTTGAACTTGACTCATGTGACACGCTATATTTAACTATATAGTATTCTTACTTATAGTATATAAGTAACTTATAATTAAAATTAATAATTTAAGTACCTCTAGCTTCTAGTACTTTATAATTTTAATTACTTTCTTATTTAGTTATAAAGTATTAGTATATAAATAAGATAGTTAGTATTACCTAACCTATATTCTATTAAATCTAGGGAATAAACCTAATATACCTATAGAATAAATACTATATAATAATAAACTAATTAATTAACTAAAATAAATATAGCTTTATAATAACCTAAGTAGGTTTAGTAGCTTAAATAATTCTTATAGTCTTAATAATTAGAGTATCTAGAGTAATCTTTAAATAACTAATAATATAAAGCTACTCTAGTAATAAGACTTAATCCTATAATAACTATAATATTTATTAAGCTATTCTAGAGCCTCTTTAGTAAGAAGTAGGAGGGACTTAAAATATTTAAATCTAGGTTTTATATAATAAAGAATACTTAATAGCTATAAACCTTTTTATAAGACTTAAAGAAATACTTTAACTTAAAACCTAAAGTCTATATTAAGAATAATTATAAAGTTATATATATCTCTATCTATAAGGTAATATTAAATAAATATAAAAAGAATATAATAATAGTATTAAAACCTCTTTTACTTATAATAAATTTATAGAATTCCTCTAGAACTATCTTAAACCTAAGGAGGAGTATAGCTAGATAGTAATATATTAATTACTTAAGATTAAGTAATAGTCTAAATAGAGAGTATATTAATTGTTCTTTTAAATTAAGGAATATCTTACTATTATTAATTATCTTATAGTACTTAAGAAATAATAGGTTAATATAATTATAGTAAAACTATAACTTAGATATAATATAATATCTATTAAAACCCTAGTAAACTAATAATAATAATTAAGCTAGAAGAAGTTACTATAAGATATAAAAAGATATTATAATAAGAAAATATATTAACCTTTAAATTACCTTTAATATAATAATAATCTTAAATATAGTTTATAGGAAGTAACCTATAGCTAAAGTATAAGATAGATAGATAATAATAAAAAGCCTTTAATTAATAATTAAAGAAATCTTAAGAAGTTCTAGAGAAAGGATAAATAAAGTTATAAAGCTATTAAAGTTAATTATAATATTCTTAAAAAGAAAGGTAGATATCTTATTTACTATAAATAGGGATATATATAAGATACCTACCTAAAGGTAAAGAGTAAGGGGAATAAAGCTTCTATAAAAAAGATATCCTATAATTAATAGGGACTTTAGCTCTATAAGATTAATATCTTATATTATATAAATAAGGAGCTACCTAATTCTTTTCTTACTTATATCAAGGTAAAGGTTAGTAATTAAAAAGTATTAATTAAGGTATTAATTAATATTAAAGTAGGACTAGATTTTATATTATAATAGTTTCTATAGAGATATAGCTATCCTCTTAATAAAAAAGAGCTATTAACTTATTACTTCTTTATAAATAGTATACCTATGTTACGGCACCTTTATCAGTGACTGCATTAGGCAGAATTAGGCGGTCAAGGGGAATGGATATTCTTATGGCAGAGAATTATAATTTGCTATTATCATACTCTTTATAGCCACTATCTAGTAAATACTACTACACTCACATGACTAACTACTATCTACTATTACTAAGGAATGGTATATGGTATATAGCTACTATCTAGACTACTATTAAGATAATATATAGAATGGTATATTAGTAAAGGATATATAAGGACACTCACTTTATATACTTAGATAGTTCTTTATAATTAATATAAGTTATTATCTTATAGTTACTATTCTACTATTACTCTAATTATTCTACCTACTTATTTATATATCTCTAAGCTTAATTAAGAGGTATATATACTTCTTAGCCTTACTTCTCTCTCTAACTACCTTACTATATTCTTAAGTAACCTAGCTTATTAGGAGTACCCCAGTTACTGTTAACATCCTTAGATTAGGGTTATAGGTTAGTATTCCGCAGGCTTGACTCACCATTTACAGGTTAGGTACCATTGTGAGATCCCAGGGTGTGACAACCTACCCTTAGTTCTAGAAAGCCTAAATTAATATATATAATTATTAATTAGGATAGGAATACTAGAGTCTTTAAAATATTATTTAAGATTTTAAACCTTACTTATTATAATATTATTTTAGGATAAGTCTAGCTATAAGATACCTAGACTTAAACTATATAGTAAGTACCTAATATTACTAATATAACTTACTAAAGTTTAAAATTAAAGAACCTAAAGAGTTCTATAAGATAATAAAGAAGGGGGATAAAGTAAGATATATCCTTATAAAAATTATTAGGGATAATTCTTCTTATAATAAGATATCTACAGTCTACTATTAATATATATATATATATATTCTTAGAAAAGGAAGCTAGTATACTTCTATTAAAGGAGACTTTATATAAGATATAATTAGCTAAGGGATAGATACCTTTATATAGGCCCCTATACCCCTTATCTCTAGTAAAGCTCTTAGTTCTATAGGAATATAT